GAGAAGCCTGCCCACCTCAACTAGAGAGAAGCCCCTGCATGCCACTACAAACACTCAATGCAGCCAAAACTAATTTTTTTTTTTTAAAGAGTATGGTTATGCTGGTGCTATCTCAGTAACCAGGCTTCCCAAGTGACTCAGTGGTAAAGAATCCGCCTTCCAATGCAAGAGACACCAGTTTGATCCCTGGGTGGGGAAGATCCCCTGGTGGAGGAAATGGCAACCTATTCCAGTATTCTTGCCAGACAAATCCCATGGACAGAGGAGCCTGGTGGGCTACAGTCCATGGGATCATAAAGAATCAGACACAACTGAGCAACTGAACCCAGCACACATCTCAGTAATCAAGAGGTTTGGATTTTAAGATGCGGAGAGGAGGCCTTCAGCTCAAGTAAGGCAGGGAGTCGGAATTTAAACTCTGCATGAAATCAGGACCCTCCAAATGCTAAGCTTGAACAAAAGGATGAATTAAAAATTAACCTCTCTTGGTCTGCCTTTTGGAATATAAAAAAACCTCTCCCATGAGAATCTGTAACCATAGGCATTCCTTCAGATGGATTTGGTGTTCAACTGCATTCTACCTACCTGAATGGTCTGGAACCCCAAGCTGAGAAATTCACGAGAAGTGATCCTAATCCAGGAGTTTTAATAACAGAAAAGACAAATAGAAGGGGCATTGGGGGATATTCTAAAATTGTGTTGACTGTGGTATGACTCCTTCATTCTATTATTGTGCTTTATTGCATTGACTGATTTTTTTCAGTCAGTGTAGAACCATTCTCATATTCCAGGAATAAATTCCACTTGGTCAAATCTGCTGTTGAATTCAGATTGCTGGTCCTATGCTCATCTTCTCTATCTTGTTCCAATTTTAGTACATGTGCTGCTAAAGCAAGAAGTCCCTGTGGTTTTATTTTTTAAACAGTGGATAATGTATTTTTGCATTTCAATTTTCAAGTGAGTAAATGTCTCAAGGAGCAAGAATTACTTTCCATGCCTGAAATGTTGACAAAAATTAAGACCCACATGCTCATTTGCAGACTCTTTTCTTCCCAGAACTGGCATCACCTCCTTCCTACATAATACACCTCAACTGTAATATAAGAAAGCAACCCTTTCTTCAGAAGGTGCTATACAATAATCTAACCCACAGAGAGAATCCAGATTTGAGGTTTCTATGTCACCACATGAAACCCATCTGCAAACTGTTTAAAGTAAGAGTATGAACATCATGTCCATGGAAGCAACCTAGATGCCCATCAGCAGACGAATGGTTAAGAAAGCTATGGTACATATATACACAATGGAATATTACTCAGCCATTAAAAAGAATACATTTAAATCAATTCTAATGAGATGGATGAAACTGGAGCCCATTATACAGAGTGAAGTAAGCCAGAAAGATAAAGACCATTTAAAGACCATTACAGTATACTAACACATATATATGGAATTTTAAAAGATGGTAATGATAACCCTATATGCAGGACAGAAAAGAGACATAGATGTATAGAACAGACTTGTGGACTCTGTGGGAGAAGGCGAGGGTGGGATGTTTTGAGAGAACAGCATCAAAACATGTATATTATCTAGGGTGAAACAGATCGCCAGCCCAGGTTGGATGCATAAGACAAGTGCTCGGGCCTGGTGCACTAGGAAGACCCAGAGGGATCGGGTGGAAAGGGAGGTGGGAGGGGGGATTGGGATGGGGATTACATGTAAATCCATGACTGATTCATGTCAATGTATGGCAAAAACCACCACAATATTGTAAAGTAATTAGCCTCCAACTAATAAAAATAAATGGGGAAAAAAATGAACATCACGTCCCTGGAACTCACTTCTCCAAAGAATTCGATAATTCAACCTTTAGGGTACTTAAAATTCGGCCCCCCAAGCACAGTAATGTGTGGTGTTCTTGGAGTTCAGTGGAGGATTCATCTTTCTGGCTCAGTAGAAATCCAAACACGTATGTCAGGTACTCGGGACCGTGAAAAGCAAGATTCTTTGAAGAAAAGTTCCAGGGACCATACTTTTGAAAACTGACAACAGCTACTGGGAATTTCTTTTCCCGTTTCACAACTCAGGGAACTTACTGGCACCTGCCTAGAGCTAGGACTGGTTAACAGGTGTTCACAATACCTAGGGATAACTTGTCGACTTGCAGGAAGCCTCCCGCCTGGCGGGGCCCGAAAGGGAGGGGGGTGAAGGAGGAGGAAGGGACTCTCTCAAGGCGTGCGGTCAAGAAACAGACTAAAGAGGAAACAATACAGAAGACTGAGGAGAAGTAACCGCCTCACGTACGGAGACAAATTATGGCCGTCGTCTGCTTCCAGAGTACGCCCCCTAGCCCCAGATTGCGCATGCGCCCTGAGCAGTGCGGCGTGCACCACCACCCCCACCCCCCCCCGCCCCGTTCCCCCCGAAACTGCGCCTGCGCAGGCGTGGGTTCTTTCCCCACTGTCCACAACACCCACTTCACTCCCCAACCCCGGTCTTCGAAAGCCGCCAACCCAGTGTGTACCCGGGCGTTCGTGGTTGCTAGGGACTAGAGTAGGATGGTTTGTGGTATCGGGTCAGTGATAACTCGCCAGTTACTGGGTAAACAATGCTTTGGTTAGACTTCACAGCCGCGAGCCTTTGTCTGCGAACTGTTAACGCATCCTTCGTTTTATCCTCGCATACTCGGACGCCCTGCTGTCGCCATCATCAAAGCGGCTGGAAATTGCTTCTTGAGAATTTTAATCTTGTTTGGAAGCAGCCCCGACCAATGGTTCCCTTTTTTTTTTAGTCTAGGATCACCCATGATGTGATGGACACCTCAGAAATGTCATCCCTCCTTTGATTTCCATAGGAAGCTGAATTAGAAAGTTGTGCTTATTCATGTCCGACTCTTTGCGACCCCATGGACTGTAGCCCACCAGGCTCCTCTGTCCATGGGGATTCTTCAGGCAGGAATACTGGAGTGGGTTGCCATGCCCTCCTCCAGGGGAATCTTCCCAACCCAGGGATCGAACCTAGGTCTCCCGCATTGCAGGCAGATTGTTTACCGTCTGAGCCACCAGGGAAGACCAAGTAATGGTTAACTTTGAAGAAAAAACAAAAAAGAGAGAGAAGAAGGAAAAATTAATGTAAACATTTACGTGTACACAGAATAATCTCGAAGAACTGGACAGCAACTGCCACTGTGATTACCTCAGGAGAGAAATGGGTGGCTGAAGGATGGGCATGAATGTTTTGGGTTTTTTGTGGTTTTTTGCGTCGTTTGAAATTTGTCCAATACGTGTGTGTGTTTTAATTTTTGAATGTTCGTTTGACTCCCTTACCAAAATGTAGATATCAAGGAAATTTGGAAACTTAAGACATCTGTCTAGATGCCGTAATGCTGGATAGAATTATACATTATGTGTGAAGATAAAACGTTTTGTGTAAACCACTGTTTTCCTGTTTATTTCTGGACAAACATCCTTGGGAATTGGGGCGGGAAGTACAGGAAAAGAGCCAGGAATTTTCAAAAAGTCAGCAGGGTTGGCATACAGGAAACAAATTTTTATCATCTCAATCACGGTATATTCCTTTTGGATTTGCTGAAGAAAATTGAAGGGTAAATTTTAGTTGATTTCACTAAAGTCCATCTAGATTGGAAGGGGACATTTGATGTTTATTTTTGTAAAGGAAGTTAATTGAGTGTGGCTGGCAGGGTTGGGACTCGAAGTTCCTATTCTAGACAAGGAAAACATCCCTTAGTAAGGAATCTCCAGGATGATTATGATACATTCCTTCCCCTAACCTTGTAAGATAACTTCAGGTTCCCTCCTCCAAGGGAATGGTGAGGAAAAAAAACTAGGCAACTGTGCCTAAGAGGATTTGCAGACAAAAAGCTCATATTGAAAAAAGATCCTGGACACACCTCATTCTCTTGGTTAGCTGAACCAGTTCAGCTTGTTACCCAGTAAGTAGTTAGTGGATCTAAGCAACAAAGAAATAAATGAAACCTAGTGGGTAATACATCAACCAGGTTGAGCAATAAGCAGCACCTGGGGATAAAATTCCCCACAGAGGAGAAAAATGGCATCACAGAAGAGAATACTTAGTAAAATTTATTAAAATAAAAAAAGAAAAACAATAATTTATGCCCTTGGCAAAATAAAAGATCTTGTCAATATAAATGTTTCTTAGAAAACATATGAAAAGATAATATATATCAATAAATCAGTATCAATGTTACAGCAAAAGTAATAATGATTGCATAACACTGACAAGTGAGGATAATTCTGGCCCTTACACAGCAGCATTTCTGGAAGGTCCTCTGATTCCTCCTTTTTTTTTAGTACATATATGCCTTCATTTTAAGAAAGCCTGATATACATATATCTATATTTAGAAACTCTATCAATTAAATTTATTTGTGTCACAAAATAATTCTCTACCAAAAAATCAAGTTTCTGTAATGTATCCTTCAAATTGGCAAATTTTCTTAATGTGTTTAAAATTAACCAAATACATGTGTCCCCAACTTCTTTCCTTCTAGCACTACTATATACAGTGAGGTATACCTGAAGTGAGCCAGAAAAGTTGGGCTTCAAACCTGACTAGAGAGAGTGTGTTCTTACTTAGAGTAAGAGGAAATAGTTGGGGGCACGAGTTCCCTCAATCTTTTGTTTCTCGAATCCTAAGCTCTTGATTTTCTTGTCCCTGCTGTTTCCTGGGCAACTTTGTTCACCTAGTACTCTCAAGATAAAAGGAGGAAGTCAAATGGGAGAGGGGCGGGTTAATGAATTAGTGAGTCACTCCAGCAGAGCACAGTGAGATGAAATCTGGGGTTCAGAGTGTGTGTATGCGGCTATAGCTGGGGGAAAGCCAGAGCAATTCTCTGCCCTTGACGTGGTGTTTGTGAGGCTCCTCTCCCAGCAGGAGCACCTGATTCCTGGAGGGGCAGCAGGGCTTAGTCCAGTTTCCCCAGCCAGACGGAACACGTACTCAGGAGAATGGACTCCATCCTATTTGTCACATTCCTCCTGGCTCCCTTCAGCACAATGGTAGTGCTGTTCACAGAACTCCTGGATCCGGCTACAGGCCTCCAGCATCATCACTTCAGGGACTGTGATTACCACTCGGAAGAAATTTGGATACTCAAAGCACTGCAAAAATAAAAGCCTATTATTCTCAGAGCAGTTGAATCAGTGACTAGACCACCCTAGTATGGCCAGGGCCCTAATCAGCAAGAGGCAGCAACACCATTTACCCAGGGATAACAGTTCCCACCACTGAGAAGCTGAACCAGTAATTGAGTTAATTTATCTTAAAAGGAATTTGTGGGACAAGCTTGATTTTCTGTCATTTAGAATGTCCAACTACAATTTTTCTTCCTGAATCATATGGGATAATGATGAGGAAGAAACAAATTTTAAATAGAGGTCATGACACCCACCAGTAAGAATCTTTTCAAAAAAGAGTACAGTAGTCCCTTAGTATCCATAGGGGGGTTGGTTCCATAACCTCCGAGAGTACTAAAATCCGAGGATGCTCAAGTTCTGTATATAAAATGGCATAGTACTTGCATAACCTACATACATCCTCCTGTGTACTTTAAACAATCTCTGGCTTATTTATAATACCTAATACAATGTAAATGCTATGTACATAGTTGTCAGGCTGCAGCAGATTCAAGTTTTGCTTTGGGGCACTTTCTGGAATTTTTTTTCTTCTAGTATTTTTCCATCCCCAGTTGGCTGAATACTTGGATGTAGAACCTGCACATATAAAGGCCAACTGTGTACACTGTGTTGGGGGAGGAAAAGGCTAAAGACCAGCTCAGGGAGAGCTCCCAAGGCACTATACACCATTGAGAGTTTCTAGAGAAACCTGAGAGGGATGTAAGCACTCACCGTTGCTGGGAGGCAGTGGACGGATTGCTCAGCAACTAACCGCTCCGTGAACTCCACATCATTCTCAAATTCTGGGAAATGTTCCATCTCAATTCCAACCTATACCAATAACAGGGAGAGGCAAACTGATCATAAGAAGGGAAAACAGGCCATCTCCCTATGCCAGAAATCAGGGCAGGGACTGCTCTAAAAAATATCTTGAAATTCCACTACTGATAACTAAGAGTTCTTGCTCTTATGGCTTGTGGAATTTCTCATAGGGAAGAGAGGATATATTCATATTAATATTTTATTGAAGTGTTCTTTCTTGGATGCTGATAAATGAAAGCTGAAAATAGGATGCTAGTGTTCCTTAAAAAAGGCACTATTGGTACTATGGGCCAGGCTAGTCTTGATTGCATGGAAGTAACCTGCCCATTGAAAAATATTCAGCATTGCTGGCCTACAAGATGCCAATAGCACTTTTCAGTCCTTCTGAAAACAACATTCCTATATATCCCCACTCTGAGGGAACCAGATCTCTCCTGGTTGAGAACTACAATAGTGTGGAAAGCCTCTTATTTGTGTCCTATCATCTCTGTATCTACATATAAAATAATTCTCTGTATTGAAAAGTTGTCATTTTAAGAGGTTTTTTTTTTCTTTCTTTTTTTAGCACTGAGTTTAAACCATGTCAGTGGGACAATTCAGAACAAGGAAGTTCCTAAACTGGCTCAGGGGCGCGTCTGGTTGTCCTTGGAGCCCTGCAGACTGGCTTCCCTCACCTGCCAACAGGTGCCCGCCACCACATACTCACCATGAGGTACATGGCCCCAGAAGGGCGAATGGGCCGGAGTCCAGGGATGGCAACCAATGCCCCATAGCAGAGATCCGCATTGGACTATGAAAAGAGGCAGAGACATCAAGGATGAAAACTTAAGCTAAAGGAAAACTGGGTCATTAAAGAGACAGCCCACATCAAAGGCAGGGAACTTAGGTTTGCTCTGCTGGCATAAGGAGTTAATAATAAAAAAAACTCTGCCCACTCACAGCTTCAGGCCGGGAGCAGAGTGGATTGCCAGAAGTTAGAGAAATGTATGGATGAATGTTGACAATGATGCCAGCTTCTGCCAGAAGGTAGCCATAATGGCTCAAAATTCCACTGGAGGCATTCCCTGACTCCCAGAATGGAAGGCCACAGGCTGCCCTTACCTTGAGGAAGCTTAGAGTGTTGTGGTAGAACTCTTGAGGGGTGCGACACAGGATGCTTTTCAGAGCTCCCTGGACAAGGGTGCAGGGGCCCAGGATCCGTTGACTTAGTTTCGTCAGCCCATCTCGGATCTAAAAGCCCCCCAGCAAACACATTATTTAGCCTTTCTTAAGCATCCCTGCTGTGGAGATTCTTGCTCTGACCATTCTTTCTATAAACTGTTTATTTTTATTTATTTTTAATTTTTTGTTGTTGTTATTATCTTCTATCTAGGCAGAGTTAGGGTTAGTTTTTGATATCTGGAGACGCGGTGGTGCCTCATGTCATTCTTAAATCAGACCACCTGGGTTTGTAGCCCATCTCTGCCACACACTGACTGGGTGTGTGACTGAGAAAATTGTACACAACCTATCTGAGTTCATTTTTATCAGCTGTAACATGGAGATAATACTAATACTGGCCTCACAGGGTTGTTGGGAGAATTACATTGAAATAAAGTACATAAAGCACTGGCACCTTGTAAGACCACAAATAGTATTAGGGATCATTACTGCTTGTTGCTTCTTTTTTTGTGGTAATAAAATTGGAGGTAGATGCAACTTCCTCACCAACACAGAAAAACTGAATTCTTGGGAGAAATAACTAGTACTATCTTAATCCAGTGTCTTTCCAGGCACACAGAACTACAGGGCCAAGAAAGGAAAATCTCACATCTATACCACTACAGTGAGATAAAGTAAGCAAGTAATAGGTAAACAAATAAATAAATATTTAGAATATATATATATATATATATTCTCACCTCATTGCCAAAAATATCTCTTCGGTCATGGATAAGGATCCAGCCCATCCTCCAGCCAGGAACCAGCCAGCGCTTGGCCAGCCCTCCACAGGACAGGATGGGGACATTGCTGCTGAGGGTGGCCAGAGGCTCAAATTTGGAATCTGAAAACACCTGAGGAGAAGAGGTGCTTCTTACAGTTGTTTTCTGGCTTCCCTCCAAATCCCATGCCTCCCCAAATTTTCCTTTTATCATTAAGCACAGGGCCTCAGATTTACAGGCTCTTTCTACCCTGAAGCATGACTGGGATCTCAAGAAGCTTCAAAGGGAACTATCCAGATACATTTAACCTAGTGTCCTGTCTGGGTTAAAAGAAGCCTAAAATGAGGAAACTGGTCCCAACCCAGTAATATGTACAACCCCTGACTCTCGGGAATGAATGAAATAATTAGATCCTGCCCAGACTCACCATGTCTCCATAGATCTCATCAGCTAAGATGGGGACACACTGCCTTGCAGCCACTGAAAATAAGAGAAACATGCTGATGTCATTTTTAATGTGAATTGCCTTAGCACTTAAATGTTTACCTGGGCTTATACTTTACACTTCATGTTTGTGGGTTTTGTCTTCCTCTTTAAGAACTACAAATTCTTCTCATGGTACAGAGCCTTCCAGGGTACAGAGCCTGAATTTGCTGTTTGATTAACTAGATATTTCAAATCCTTTCTTTCACATGAGGGGAGTGATAAAGAGGCAAGTCTTTTTCTCCTCCTTTCTACCTTTGCAGTGGCACATCACTCACTAGGGACCCCACTGGAGCCTTCCAACCTCTATCCTAGTCTCGGAACTTAGTAAAGGACTTCTTTCTCACTCCAGGAAACAGCTAAAGTATTCCATCCCCATCTTCTTTCCTGTCAAGTGAAATCTTTTGGACTTACCTGCCAAAATTTTCTGGAGATGACGTCTACTGAACACTGATCCACAAGGGTTTGATGGATTGTTGACGATAAGACAAACTGTCTTTTCATCAATCAGAGATTCTAGTTGTTTCAGGTCAATTTCCCAATTCTTCTCTGGCTGGGGAGGGAAAATAAAGTGAAACAAGATAATTCTGAAAATGGAAGACTACTCACTTCACTCAAAGGTATAAATAAGTCACAAAATGTGTCTGTGGCCTCAGACTTTCCAGATCTTTCTCTGCTAAGATAATGGTCATGTATTTTTATGAAGTAGTAATTGAGCATTTGTATCTAAAATTATAATTTGTATCTAAAATTAAAAAGTCATTTACCAATAAATTGTAGAGTTTGACCTCAATTCCCATAGATTCAGCCAGAGTCCTGTAGAGAGAGAAGCCGGGTCTCGGAACTAGGATGTTTTGCCCTGGGTTGGCCAACACAGCCAAACATAGTTCAATAGCCTGACTGCAGCCACTTGTCAGAATGACATCCTATGAAGAAAAGTTTTGTTTTGTTAGGGGTTCCAACAGCAACAGGAGAAAAGGGATTATCAGATGAATGAGTGGGAAGCAAAAATTAGCTTACTTTTAAAAATCCTATGTAAAGTAGTGGGGACTGTACTAGGCCAAAATTGAAAGAAACGGATATGTTTATATATGTCCATATCTAGAGGTTGTTGAAAGTGCTGGCCACTTAAAAGAAATAAATCACTTTAAAAAGGACAGGTTGGCTGTGACTCAGCAGACCTCCATAAGAGGTCATTATGACCTTGGACTTTTTCACCTGGTTGTTTATTTACTTTTGACCAGAGATTTGAAGCATGGCTCTTTTCTGAAATACAAAGGGCTCCCCTTAAGGTTAAGAAATGTTGACCTCCACCCTATCTATAAACAACAGAGTGGAGGGCATTTAAACTTGACCCTGCCATCAGTCCAATATGCCATGGAAATTCGATCCTCCCATCTAAGTGACCTTAGGTAAGTGAAGGGAACTACAGATTAATAAAAGACCCTATTGGTAAAATTAAATTTTTCAATTATTTGGTATATATGAATTACTGTTTTTCAATGATCTTTTGCAGAGAAGCAAATATAGGGTGACCTCTGAGTCCTTTGAGCCTCCTTGAGACAGACATCATGTAAGTTGTATGCATTGTTATTATCATACTATAATTACATTAAACATACTCACTGACTAGTGGCCTCCCCATATAAAAAGTCCTGGAATTGCCAAAGGGAAATTATCCTTAGTTTTTGTTTCCCTTGAAACCCTTATTCCTCACGGAACAGAAACAAAGGGTAGAGTTTGCCTGGTATTGCTTTAGAGCGGGCACCTTGTCTAGGGCTCACCTTAGCTTCCAGGGGTGCCTCAGGACAGTGGTAATAAGAAGCAACTTCCTCCCGACTGGATAAGTAGCCTGAGAGAAAAGAGCAGAAGGAGAAAGCTGGAAGTTTTCATCCCACAGCTGACAGCAATGCCCTTAAGTCACAGGTCTTCAAGGCTACCTTCTGTCCCAGACCAGAGCACATAGCATTTGGTTCAGCTCTCAGTCACTATAGTTAAAGGAGATTAACTTTATACCTTATAATTTTACAATAAGCACACAAATGTACAAATAATAACAAAAAGAGTTTACCAAACTATAAAATACTCTGTAGCATCTTGGTTACTGTGATTATGTTTTATTTTCTTCTAGATTATTTAATCTAAAATACAGGATTTAGATTATTCTTAAATCCCTTTCAGGGATTATATTTGAAAACTTGTAATTAATGAGTTTGTTACACTGGGTTCATTTTAACTTTTTCACATTGTATTGTATACCTATTAGTATTTTCCTTTTATATTTAAATTAAAATATTTTCCTTTTAAATTATATTCTCATGCAGTGTTTCCAAATGTTGGCTTGCAAGCTTGAAGTATAGACAGTTTCATACCAATTATAATGTTTTACAGAATTGCTGTCCAAAAAGATTGTTTTCCGTTACCAAAGCTAGAGTCAATATATCCTAATGTTTGTTAACTTAATAGGTACAGATAGTTCTCTTGAAATTAATCAGCATTTCCTTAATTGTTAATAAAAAACACAGATAAATATTATCTGTGTTTCCTTTGGCATGAAGTGTTCATATCTTCTGAGTATTTGTCAAATGCAGACTTGGTTTTAGGTTTCAGGTTAAATCAGTTTCTTAATACTTTGAATATAAAGGTCATAATAAACATCTTAAAAAATTGTATTGAAGAATAGTTGATTTACAATGTGGTGTTAATTTCTGTTGTACAGCAAGGTGATTCAGTTATATATATTCTTTTTCATATTCCCTTTCATCATGTATAAACTCTTTTTATAACTAAATTTTAGTCTTATTTTGTCTTGATTTTTATTTATGGAGCTGTATAAAATGTAAATAATCAACCTAAAAATCATGTCCCTCATATCTCTTTAAAGTGTTTTTAAATTCTATTTTAGCATGAAGCTGGTTTTTATTCTGCACATACACACAGTGGGGAAGTGTGTGACACCGAAGCAAAGGAGTCACTTATTTTACCAAAACGCTTAGGGTAGGAATGTTCAATACATGGAGAGAGTTACACCTAAATAAAATTATTCCTGTCTTAAACAACCTTCTGTCCTCTAATAGAACAACTCACTCTTTGCTGTTGTTTTTGTTTGTTTGTTTCTGCCTTGAAACAAGCACAGTTACACTGAGAGTGTGACCAGGACCATAATTAAAATAAATCTTGAATGTGCAGAGGAGAAATAACGCCAAGAAGTATTTTCATAGGGCAGTAAGTAAATTGATTTAGGAGCTAGACAGCTCTGTCAAGAAGCAGCTGCAGCCAAACTCAAGGCCTCCGTGGAGAAAGAGCAATGATAGGATAGGAGCGTTATTTGAGCAGAGTGCATAATGGGAACCTAGAGCAGGGAGGTGCCATAGTGCCAGAGGAAGCCAGGAAAGAAGTTGGACCTTGGTGGCTTGAGGTTAAACATTCTGAGACTCCTTTCCCCAAATTCAACAGCCATATTATCTTAGCCTCTCCTTAGGAATTATGCATCGGGAAAGCAAAGAGAACTGCTAGAAATTTATTACCGTCAGAAGAGCACAGACAATTTGGAAACTGCCAGATTAGTGTCTCAGAGGGAACTTACCAATGGAGGGGGCATAGCCATTAAACTTCCCTGAGTCAAGCGCATCTTTCATTGCTTGGGTAACTTCAGGATCTGTCAGCAGGTTTCCAAATACAGTAGGGTCCCCTTTTCAAGAACCACCAAGAGGTTATTCTTCCAAGCCCAGTACCCAGACCCACCCTCCACTTCCATCCTCTCTGCCCAACCCATGAGGATGGGGGTGAGAGGAACAATGCCTGGCTCTTGGTTAAGTGTACTCAACTCACCAATCGATAAAGCAATCATGGTCTTGTTTGGATTTGGCTTCACCTTCATGTTGTCCACAATGGCCCGGATGGGATTGAAAGTTTTGTTGGACATGTCCGAAGGCCTCACGGACCATCTGGCCTTCCTGCTTTTCAGTTTTCCCAGCACGGAGCTTCTCCCAGTGATGTTGACATGCACATCCAGAACTGAGGGGAGGCTCCCATGGTCCTGCATCTGAATTACGTATGGGTCCATGACTAGCAAAGACTATGGGGAAAAGAAGGGGTCACTGTGACTCTAAGAACAGATACAGTCCAGTGGGGCAGCTACAGTTGGACCTAAACACTGGGGTGACTTTGCCAGACATCTCTTTTCAAACTCCTTTCACATGTAAAGCAGCTTTGAATGAATGAGGGCAATTTTAAGACTTTTCACTCAGATGGAAAATAAGCAAAATAACCATTCTACAATATTAGCAGAGTGTTCCACTGAATGCTTATCTACTGTGAGATTCACTATGTGCTACATCATCACCATGAAAATTTAACCATGCTCTCAGCAAAACCAAGGAAGAATGACATGAAAACTAATGTTAAATAAGGAAAGCATAGGTATCCCTTCCATTCCGTGCAAGGAAGAGTCTCCTTACACTTCAACAGACTATGTCTTGTCCTGTGCAAAGAATAACCAGGAAGAACTATTCCATATTGTTAGAAATTTAGTGTTAACATTATCATTAGTAAAAATAAAGCCCTATTCTATAAGCAGCTTACTGCCCTGTGGAAAAAGAAGTCAATACACCACAAAGAAAAAAACATGCATCCCAAATCACAAGGTAGGCTGAGGCTGGAGATTTTACCTTCCCAGTAAAGGAGAAGCAGCCTCCAAGCAGCCAAACCAGGAAGTTGCCTAAGTTCTTTGACAAGTGCCAGTGACAGTGAATTCAGATGCAACCTCTGATGCCTGAAATAGTCCCACAAATGGGCGTTGAGCCTGAGACTCTCATGCTATTGGCTCAGGTACGAATGGAGCAAACAGCCCTCTTCTTTTCTCCCCTCCTCACTTTTTGGTGCTTTTTCCCTCTAACCCTGCCTCCCACCTCCACCACCAAATCAGGAATTTGAACACTTCAGCCTTCTGGAATTGTCTGTGTTAACCCTTTCCAGGTAATCTGCGATATGTTTGAAAGGATTGTCAGAGAGGTAGTTAGGATTACAGTTGGTAATTTTTATTAAATCTTCTTTTGTGACAAAATGACCTATTAAAATGATAATAGTACAGAAATGTATAGAGTGAAAAGTGAGAGTCTTGCAAGGACCAGGCAGTGGTAATGATCTGGCCATTTCTATCCATTCATCAAGATAGATAGATGATATTAGATCAACAGATTTACAGATGATAAATAGACAGGTGATAGACAGTAGATAGATTAGATGATGGATACATAGATACAGAATCGTGTATATTTTCAAAACACAGCTGAGATCATGCTCTACAACTTGTTCAGCAGCATGCTTATTTATTTCCTACATCTCGGGCTCCTTTCTTTGTTAGTCCACGAAGTTCTACTCCAGTTAGAACAAACTGTGCAGCTAGAGTAAATGAAGGCCCACTCCATAAACATTTAACAAGTACAGAGTAGCTGAGGCAACCAAAACCTGTGCAATTTTATCCTTATGCTGTGAATTCTTAATTTTCCTGTTATGGAGTTATTGGAAAAATAAGATGTCAGGTGAGATCTAAACAAAAACCTTTGCTAAGCCAGCACAGCAGACAACTCAGAATTCCTGTGAGCCTATGAAAAGTATCATCCACCCAAGGGTTAAGAGAAACCTCAGTCACCCCATGGCTCAAATCCTATCTGTTTACTTATTGAGAGACAGAGAGTTGTTTCATAAGCTCTGTCTGCTTCAGCTATTTATTGGTGATTTGAGTCTCCACTGGGGTTGAATGAACTTTTATTTCTCTGGTCCTTCCATCTTCTTCTTTTCCCTCCATTTATTTATGTCTTTATTTTTTAAATTGGAGGCTAATTGCTTTACAAAGTTTTGTTGCCTTCTGCCACACAATGATGAGAATCAGCCATATGTATACATATGTCCCTTCCAACTCTTAGTACTTTGAAAAATTCACCTAATGTGGTCGCTTCTCCACTCCACTGAAGCAAGCATTTACCACTTCATCTCACCAGTGGAGAAGCAGAAGCACCAGGCCGGTGTAGGAAGCCAGCCAGGTCAAAGAAAATGTAGGTTAATTATGAAGCCCTGAGCCCTGAGCCGGACAAGCTAGTCTGCTTTGTTTCAAAAAGCTATGTCTAACACATCTAAAAGACAGAAAAGGAAAGGTTTAGGTCTGCTACTTGGCACCCTATACACAGGTAAATGGCCCGTTTTACTAAATACAGTTAACCATTTTACAGATAGACATATGCTTAGCAGGCTGACTCTACTACCCTTGGTGAGGTTGCCAAGTGAGAACATGGTGCTGTTTCCAAAACACATAGATCTTGTCAAGAGAGGAGACCACCCTTTCCTAAACATATTTAGCCCACCACCACCTCCATTTAAAATATATGTGTGCTGAAGAAAATCAGAAAAATTTAAAAGCATTTATAATCTACCAGCACTCTTAACACATTAGTTTTACTTTTTCCCTACAAAGTTGGGGTCTTGTTCTATGTACATATTTTTTAAATTGAGAAAAAAATTATATAACATAAAAGTCACCATCTCAAAGTGTAAAAAAAAAAAAAAAACATAAAAGTCACCATCTCAAAGTGTAAGATCCAGTGATTTTTAGTTCATTCACAACATTGTGCAACAATTGCCGCCATCTAATTCCAAGACATTTTTTTTCATTGTTCCAGAGAGAAACTCCATACCTATTAACTAGCCCCTCTCAATTTTCCTCTTCTTAGCCCCCGGCAACCACGAATTTAATTTCTGTCTCCATGGATTTGCCTATTCCTGATGTTTCACACAAATGGCATCATACTATATGTTGTCTTTCATGTCTGACATCTTTCACTTAGCAAATGTTTTTCCACGTTGTAGCATGTTTCAGTACTTCATTCCTTGTTATGGCTGAATGGTAGTCCATTATGTGAATATATTCATTTGTTCACCTGTTCATCAGCTGCTGGACATTTGGGTTGTTTCCTCTTTTTGGCTATCAGAAATAATGCTGCTATTAACACTTACATGCAGGTTTTCGTATGAACATATGTTTTCAATTCTCTTGAATATATACCTTGGTGTAGAGCTGCTGGACCATATTATGGATAGTTTTGCATTGTGAACTTTTAAATTATATCATGAATATTTTCTCATGTTCTGAAAAACATTCCATCATAGAGAATTATCAGAATTTATTGAATAATTTTCTTATTGTTGGACATGATGTGGAGTCTAGCTTTTACTATTGTAAGAAATGCTGCCAAGAGCATCATTGTATATAAATATCAGTTCATACATGTTATTATCTCCTTAATGTAAATTTTACTATACATGGACTTACCACATTGAAGACAGCAAACATTTTGCTTTCATTCATCTAGTAATTAAAGTATAATATGTAATTATATAATAAATTCAAATTCAGATGTTTATGAACTAAACTCTTAAAAACTTCTTTCCCCATAATCCAGTTTCATAGAGACAGCCAGTTTAGCCATTTCTTGGTTATCTTTCCAAGTGTTTTCTATGTCTACACAGTTCTTGTACAGCTGGTTTTGGAGTTGTTCAAAATGATATATATACTATTCGTTCATTCTGCAGCTTCACTGTCTCTTACTGTAACCACTGTTCTTAAGTGGCAATTGAGTACTTGAAATGTGCTTTATCTGGATTGAGATGTGTCACTGATGCAAAATACACAACAGGTTTCAAAGACTTATAGAAATAATGTAAAATATCTCACCAATAATTTTATATTGACTACATGCTTAAATAATACTTGAATCTATTGGGTGAAATAAAGTATATTACTGAAATTAGTTTCATCTATTTCTATTTTTTTGACATTTAAAAATATTCCTATTAGAAAATTTGAAATTACTCTGTGGTTTGCATTCCATTTCTATTGAACAATGTTGTTCTTTAGCTTGCTTTTTAAAAACTCAATAATATGTTATATGTCATTTTCATACATGAAGAGCAACTTAATTCCTTTTATTGGCTACATTATGTTCAGTTAGCCAGCCAGTCCACTCTTTTCGGACATGGAGCAGCTTCCAATTTTTATTTCTATTAGAAATAAATCATACTGCATACACTTATTATTTATGATTGGGAATTTTTATGAGCATCCTGCAATTTGTGGGATAATTTCCTTGAGGTAGGATCACATTTCAAACACTGATAGACCTGACAAATTGATCAATAATGGACTATAGGAAGAAGAGAGAACATAAATATATCTTATCATGACAACTTCTTGGAGTTCAGACCAGCTATTAGAACTTGAAGGGTGATACAGGGAATCAACTGAGTGTTACGGCAGGGGTTTTCCAGGTGGAGAGAATCTCAGAGGTTAAGGCCCTTCCTCTTGATAGTGGCCTTTCCAAGAGTTAAGTCAAGCAAGGATGAGGTTGTCTCAAAGTTAAAAGCTACTGTGACTATTCTGCCATTCCAGGTTTAAACTTTCAAAGGTCCCAACTACACTGGAGACTCAGGTTCAACTCGCTCTTCCACACACCCACACAGTCAACAGGCTTAGTCTCCTGTCCCCACCTCAACATTAAACCAGGGGTCTTAGATTATTCAAAATGATAATCTCGGTGGAGCATCAGCGGTATCAGCTCATCTGTGCCTCTGCTTTTCAGTCATTCTCATTGCTTGGCCTCTGGGGAATTCCATTTTTATCTTTGGAGATCAGTTAGGCATTTTGTTACATTTAACCCAACATTTCTAGATATTTTTATAACTGGAGATCTTCCAGGTCCTTTGACCTCAATATCACCAAAAATGAAAGTCTCTCTTTGTTAATTTGAAATGTCACCTTTATCTCATACTAAATTCTTCTATCTTCCTAACCCTTTATGGAAAATTATATTCTAGAATGAAAAATTGTACAGTTCTTGACACACATTGCCAGCTTCCTTTCAGAATGGCCATTTACCTTCCTATCAGCGATTGCTTGCAAACCCTGAGAGTTATTTTCTGAAACAATCTTTGCTCAATTGATCAATAGGAAAAAAAAGTGTATTAAAGGTTGTTGTTATTTCTGTTCCTTTTTATTTTAGTGAGGGTGGTCAT